TCCACAACTCTTACCCTGCGTATGCAAATCTTTTTGACGTCATTCTACCTTCATACAAAGGTGTTTGAAAATGTTTGCTATTGAGATATGTTTGTGATATTTTGAATGCAGTGCTTCATTTTGCAAGAGATGTGAGGCATTTTGTGTGTGCAAATCTTGGATTTGTGTGTAAAGTTTTGAAAAAAAGAGGCAAAGTTTTGAAAAGTTTGAAAGACAAATATATGCTTGCTTGTCAAAGTCTTGTTTAAAAAACGTAAATGTTTGGTCCGTTAGATGTTTGCTAAAGTGTTGCTAGTTGGTTGCTAGGATATTCTGGGTGGTTGCTAGGCTCTTGCTATGCAGTTGCTGCAGTGTTGCTAGAGTATATGGTTGATAGAGTTTGTTCTGGGTGATTACAGATATTCCCACCTCTGTTAATAACAGAAAATCAAACATTGTTTTCAAAACTGATCCAGTTTCAGTGCCTTGATATCATTGTATTTCTTTCTAATGTTAGGAAATTCAAAAGTTTTTGTTGCTCTTAAACTTTCACTAAAACGTGATTTATATCAAAATATATCATCTTTATATCTAAATAGCCTATGTAATTTTAATACAACCGCATGTCTTCTTTCGTGATACAAGCTCAGAAACATGTATAACCTGTTGAAGTTTTGTCAACCATTTGTCAAAGAAGTATGTCAGACCATAAATCCAAAAAAAGGAAGATGGACATGGAGAGAAAAGCATCCATTGCTGAGCTCTTTTGCTCTCCTCTGTACCAGCAGCCCATCATCATCTCTATCCTGCTGCAGCTCTCTCAGCAGCTGTCTGGAATTAATGCTGTGAGTGCTGCAGATGTGCTCAGTTGATCAGCTACACTGTAAAAAATTTTATGATGAAAAAGCCATGACAACTTATGTTTTTAAGTTACTTTAACTCATAAAAATAATTTAAGCAATTTCAACTTTTTTTTTATAAGTTATACTAGATTCAACTTGATTTTTTAAGTCAGTTTAATGTTACTGAAATTCAAAGAGCCCAATTTAGTTCAGTGAACAACATTTTAAATTGTAGCTTTTTGGCACTAACTGGCCAAATCTCTGAACATGGATTTATGCGCAGGCGTCAAATTTCCAAGTCCTTTCCAAGAAAAAAAAAATATTCAGCAAATCTAGACATTAGACTCATGTTTGAAACATGAGACATCGCAGTGCAACATCAAACATGGAGACACGGGCAGACTATACAGCGAACTAACTAAATCGTGGAGGAATTTCAGACGAACAACTCATGAACTTGAGGAAGCTGTCCGTTGGGCTGGCGCGAAGAAGCATATTCAACGTGGATGAGGTGAGTGAATGCTTGTGTAACATAATTTTTGGGAGATTATTGTTCATTTTAGCAGAATAGAGCAGAATTAGTTATGTTCTGTCATTGTTTTCCGAACTGTGTTTAACAGTTACCTTTCAAGTTTTGCATTTCTGATACGGTGGCCGCTGTGCTGTGCTGCATTAGCACTGCAGATTGTAATGTAACGTTTGAGATTTGACACAAATTTGTTTCTCCACCTGTTAAACATCGTTAAGATGGGCAATTTGAGCGATTATAGGTTTACCGTTAAAGTGGGTAAGTTACCAGTTGGCTTTGCTGAGCAGGCTCTGCATTTTCACGCCCACTGGAAGTTTATCCCAGTCAGTAAGGCTTCGTGCGTTTGAGTTGGTAATGTTATTCGTTACTGAGCAAAGTTAAGCGGGTTTTTTTTATTATTAAATTTTTTTATCAACCGTTCAAGCTAGGATAATATAAGTTAACTTGAGGTAGACGACGCCCGAGCTGTTTTCTACGACGCATGAACTAACCGTCACCAGTTTTGTCAGTTTGTTCTATTCAAACTAGATGAACATATGAAACTTCTTAATATGATTTAAGAGACCACGATTCAAACAATCGTTAACCTTGTTCATTTGTGACTACCTTTTTAGAAAGACGTTTTTGTCAGCCGAACAACCGACATGTTAAACGTTAAATTCAGTTTGACGCACTGTAGGCCTAACGTTACATCTGTTCCTCACAAGCTGGTTTTCTGTGCCATTTGTTATTTTATTGGCCATCATCATATATTTTATATATAATTTTGTTTTACGATTGCAAATTGCTTACTGGTAACAGATTACAGGTAACAGTAAATGCAAACAAATGCATTATGTTGTATGAATCAGTCATATTTTAATCATGAACAAAAAGTCTGTAAGCCTGTCGCCGATATATCGGTATCGGTGAAAATGGCGCCGATGTGCCGCCGATATGATTTTAATTTTTTTTACAGAACATATAGCGCAGATAAAATGCTTGAAATGGTGTAATTACTTAGTTTGTCCAGCAGAGCGCGCTCCATTGTTTGCTTCTGGCAACCAGCAAACCCTTTCACTTCAGTAAGGAGGTCTCTTCAGGCAGCGGCATTCAAGCGGTGTCTTCACTACTCAAGAGTCAAGCATTGTCTTAACGGTAAATTGCTAACTAGTTTGTGAATACATAACTTACTGTTAAGTTAATAAACAATGACCCCATACGTTCCCAGTGTTTCCCATACATTGATTTATTTGTGGCGGCCACCACAATATCCATATTGACCCCTGCCATCAGCTCCCGCGTCTCACACACACGAGCGCGACTTTAGCACTATATTTAGCAACTTTCAGAACCTTTTAGCGGCTTTTTTCCAACCTTTTTTTGAACTACAGCTAAGTTGAAAGATTTCGCCTGTACTGCCCCGCGAGCACGAGGTCTGGTTTTCCTGTCGCAGTATCTCCTCTCTCGGCATCTATTCTGTGCAGCGTGCGGCAGAGAAGCAGCACATTCAGTGGCCGTACCGCAGCCGACTCGTCAATAAATGAGTACAAAACAGCATTTCCAAGCACCTGTCGCTTACTGACTGTTTGGCCTTATAAATATGAACATAGTTCGTCTGTTAATATGTACATAGTTTGTTACTCAGACGCAGGCAGTGTGCTGCATGAGACAAAAAATTAGTCACTGTTTATACTTGTTTTAACTTAAGCTTTATTTAAATTGTATAAGTTTCATGATTTCAATGAATTACCTTTTTGATTACTAAAAATGTAATCTAACCATTAAAATGGAGCCCATTAAGTTATTTTTGATATAACGTTACTAAATAAAAAGATGAAGTCATTAGTGAAGATTAAGCTACAGTATTTAGAATATAATATAGAATAGAACATGCCAAACCAGTTTGGTTCCAGCTCAAATATATCATTCTGTCAATGTCTCATACTTATATATAAAAAAAAATAATAATAAATAAATATATATATATATATTTTGTTTTTTTTTTACAGATGGCTGAGGGTGGAAGTAGTAAGGTGTGGGACTACTTCAACAAGGACTCATCTGGTACAGTTATCTGTAATGTCTGTGCAGGCTCTGTCAGTCAGGGATCAGGCAGCCTCAAACAGAAAAATACAACCAACTTGTGGGCACATCTTAAAGTGAAACATAAAGAAGTCTATCATGAGGCACATGATAAAGCAGCACAGCCTAAAGAAGACAAAGCTCCATCACAGCCCACACTCCAACAAGTGTTTGATAAGACCACAATGTGGACCACACACGATCGAAGGTCAAAAGAGCTGGACAAGTTGATCATGGAAATGATCGCCACAGATATCCTGCCTTATGCAGTTGTGGAGGGTGCTGGTTTTAAAAGATTACTGGCCAAGACAGAGCCCAGGTACCCTTTGAAAAGTGAGAAGTATTTCCGCACTCAGCTGATGGACCAAATTCACTCAAAAGTTGTAACACGAATAAAGCAACTTCTCTCTGTGGAAAATGCAGGAAACAGCATTGCTTTTACCACTGACTGTTGGTCTGGTTCTACTGAAGCCCTCATGAGCTTGACTGCTCATTTCATCGACAAGAACTGGAATAGAGTGCAAACTGTGTTGAATGTGAAGGCCATGTCTGGGTCCCACACGGGAATACATTGGGCAGATCTTCCTGACCATGCTTGAGGAATGGAACATCAACACACAGCGTGTCCTCCTAGTGCTAAGGGACAATGGCGCGAATATGGTAAAAGGCATGAGACTTTCAGAGACACTCAGTTATTGCACAGCAACGGCTGTCTGTAATTCAGAAGGAGGTTGGTGTTCCTCAGCATTCCATACTCCAGGCTGTGCCAACCAGGTGGAACTCCACACTACACATGCTCCTGAGGATGCTGGAGCAAAAGAGAGCAATCACAGCCTATTCAAGTGACCATGGGCATTTCACCTGTCCAACTGCGGACGAGTGGGATGTGGCAGCCAACCTGGTGGAGACCCTGACACCACTAGAAGAGATAACACAGGAAATGAGCAAAGCAGACTCCTCTGCCTCCTTCATTATACCATGTGTAGCAGTGCTGAGGTGTCTCCTGGAGTCACAGGGACCCACCAGTAAAGGAATTCAGACTCTGAGAAAGACTATGCTGGAGAGCCTGGATAAGAGGTTTTCCAAACTAGTGAAAGAGTCGAAAGAGGTGGTGCTCGCATGCCTGCTCGACTCACGCTACAAGGACCCACGCCCTTGTCACCAGAGACTCTAGCCAAAGCCAAAGCCTGGCTGAGGGAAGAGGCAGAGAAGACTCCACCAGACCCAACACCAGCAGAAAGCACCAGTGATGAGGGAGACCCCAAAAGACAGCGAGTGGAGGATCAGGCCCACAGTCTTCTAGACAATATGTATGACACCATGCTCACTTCAACCAGTCATGCACAGGCACCTGAGGGGATCCTTGAAGAGCTCGAGAGGTACATGAATGAGCCAGTTATAGACAGAAAAAGAGGCAACCCACTGGAGTGGTGGAAGCACAATATTAGCCGGTTCAAGGGACTATCAGGCCAGGCCAGGAGATACCTCTCCTGTCCACCCTCCTCTGTGCCAAGTGAGAGGGTGTTCAGCACTATTGGCAACATTTATGAAGAGAAGCGAAGCTCCCTCAAAGGAGAGAATGCAGAAAAGTTGTGCTTTCTGCATTATAACCTGCCCCTGTTGGATTGGCAGTATTAAGGACTGTAGGACTGAAGGGGACTTGTGAAAAAAAAGAAAAAGTGTGTTATTATGTTCATTCAATTGTTCATTTACATAGGCTTGCCCCACACAACACATAACCAAATTCTTTGCAGTTAAAGTTTATTTTTCATTATTATTTATTATTATTTATTCATTTTAGATGTTTACATTTGGAAAAGCTGTGCTTCCTGCATAAACCTGCCCCTGTTGAACTGGCAGTAGCTTCCTTGCCCTACACATTTACCTTGTTTATTTTCTTAATTCAAGTTATATATATATTGTTCTATTTGTGTTTAAAAGTTATTTATAATAATAAGTAAAGTGAAGTTTACCATTTAGTGCACTGATGTCATACTCATTTTGGATAATAAAGTTTATTGTTAAATTGTTAAATACCCTGCCTACATTACAAATCTTTGACACGTCATTATAAGTGTTTGATCACCACAATTGTGTGATCATTGCAAAAAATGTGTTGATGTATATCTATTATGTTTATGTATATACAGTATTCTATATACAGTAACAGTACCAGTCAAAAGTTTGGACACACAAATGGGAAAGTGTCCAAACGTTTGACTGGTACTGTACTATAATATACACAAAGAATATCGGCCGATATATCGGTATCAGTATTTTTTTACTCCCTAATATCGGTATCGGCATCGGCCCCCAAAAAACCCATATCGGTCGGGCTCTAAAACAGATTACTGCTCAAAGGTTTATATTAAAAGCTGAAAGCATCTCTGCTACAAGGTTCAAGTACCTTTGCTTCATTAAATGAATTAAGTTTTCTAAAATTACTTTATGTAAATACATGACCCTTGCTGACATGGTGGCACAAAAAAAAATAAAGTGGTTATGTAAAAAAAATAAAGTATTAATGTATCTGTCTGAGAGTATATTAAACATGAACCTTGTAATAATTTATGGTGATTAAGTGTGAATTTTAATACATTTTTAGTTTATGGCAGTAAGAATATTATCAGAATGGTAATCTGAAATATATGATCTGGATTTCACATCAGAGATTACAATGAAATCCTTGCAAATTATTTTTTCAAAAATATTTTTTTCATGTTTTTCTCACACTTGCTCTTGCTTTCCACTGCTCAGATCTTCTATTATTCAACTGATATCTTCAAGAAGGCTGGGGTGGAAAGTCCAGTGTATGCTACCATAGGTGCTGGAGCTGTCAACTGTGTCTCGGTATGTAAAAAAAAAAAAAAAAAAAACAGATCTCATGAATCTTTAAAGAGGGACTAACAAGATGAGATGGCATATTAGCCTTAATTGAGACTTAACAGTTTCCAATAATATTTGTAGATCAAAAATAAAACAGATTTTGTTTGACAGATCTCAGTGCTTTTATAAGTGTGGGCAGATCAGTCATGAGAAGATAATAAAACTCAAGAAAAACTATTTAAAAACAATTTTTGGCTAAAATGTACTTTACTGTAATGTACTTTACTGGTCAGTCCCACAATACTTTTCAAGAAAATAATGGATCACTTATATGTCAAAATGTGTGTTATTTTTCTTTATAGATTGACCATGATGTTGTGCATCAAGGAATAGTTACTGAAAAAATACACAATTTAGAGAAAATCAGTTTCTACACTACAGACTACTTTAGAAATTATAATGCAGAAGCTGGTTGTAAAATTAGCATTTTTCCTAGTCAGTGAATGCTGTCTGCCCTCATTCAGAGTTAATCTTACTTGCCAAGTCGTTAAGTCACCTTTATTTATATAGCGCTTTTAACAATACATATTGTGTCAAAGAGCATTAATTGTACAGCATTAATTAGGAAAATATTGTGTCAATAATGCAAAATGATAATAGAACACTCAATTTTCAGTTAAAGGCAGTTCATCATTGAATTCAGTGATGTCATCATCCAGCTCTGTTCAGTTTAAATAGTGTCTGTGCAATCAAGTCGACGATATCGCTGGAAATTAAGTGTCCCCAACTAAGCAAGCCAGAGGCGACAGGGGCAAGGAACCGAAACTCCATCGGTGACAGAATGGAGAAAAAAACCTTGGGAGAAACCAGGCTCAGTCAGGGGGGCCAGTTCTCCTCTGACCAGACGAAACCAGCAGTTCAATTCCTGGCTGCAGCAATGTCACATTGTGCAGAGGACTCAACTGTTTCCTGTGGTCTTGTCCCGGTGGCCGTCTAGGAGACAATGTCCTCACTGGGGATCTATCTTTGTGGCTTATCTAGTTGTCCTGATCTCCGCTGACATTCAGGGCTATAGAAGTCCTCTCTAGGTGCTGATCCACCATCTGGGATGGATACGGACTGGATCCGGGTGACTGCGGTGACCATCTGATCTGGATACAGACTGGATCTGGTGACTACAGTTACCTCGGAAAAAGAAAGAAACAGACTAATATTAGCGTAGATGCCATTCTTCTAACGATGTAGCAAGTACATCAGGTGTTATGTGAGGATACTACCTTTTCTAGTATCTTGGACAGAAAAGGGAGATTCGAGATCGGTCTGTAATTAACTAGTTCTTTGGGGTCAAGTTGTGGTTTTTTGATGAGAGGCTTAATAACAGCCAGTTTGAAGGTTTTGGGGACATATCCTAATTACAATGACGAATTAATAATAGTCAGAAGAGGATCTGACTTCTGGAAGCACCTCTTAGGAGCTTAGATGGAATAGGGTCTAACATACATGTTCTTGGTTTAGATGATTTAACAAGTTTATACAAATCTTCCTCTCCTATAGTAGAGAATGAGTGGAACTGTTCCTCAGGCGATCTATAGCAAGCTATCTGATGTGATACTATAGCTGACGTCTGCATGGTTACAATTTTTGATTTAACAAGTTTATACAATTCTTCTCTCCTCTCCTATAGCAGAGAATGAGTGGGATTGTTCCTCAGGGGATCTATAGCACACTATCTGATGCGTTACTGTAGCTGACGGCTGCATGGTTACAATTTGATCTCTAAAAGTATCGATCTTGGAAGTAAAGTAGTTCATAAAGTCATTACTGCTGTGCTGTTGGGAAATGTCAACACTTGTTGATGCTTTATTTTTCGTTAATTTAGCCACTGTATTGAATAAATAGCTGGGGTTATGTATACTTGTGTTGTCTTTGTTTATAGGAGACTGTGTCATCAATGAACTACCTTAGCATGATGGCCATTTTTGGTTTTGTTGCCGCCTTCGAAGTGGGGCCAGGACCTATCCCTTGGTTCTTTGTGGCTGAACTCTTCTCACAAGGTCCCAGACCAGCAGCCATGGCAGTAGCAGGCTGCTTCAACTGGACAGCCAACTTCCTCATTGGCATGAGCTTCCAGTATGTCACTGTAAGAGTACAGGAAACAGCAACAGCTAGCAATGGTTCACTTACCTGCTTATGGCATCAAAATGTGTTATAAATCCTAACCCTAACCTTCAATCTCTCCTTACCACAGAACCTGTGTGGTCCATACGTTTTCCTCATCTTCGCTCTGCTTTCTGGTCTTCACGTTTTTCCGAGTTCCTGAAACACGAGGCAAAACTTTTGACTAGATCTCAGCCACCTTCCACCATCATCCACAAAACATGAAGGATATGGTTCAGGGGAAGCACAGTACAGAACTGGACTACCTAGGTTCTGATGGGACAGAGAACTGAGGCTTGAGTACAAGAAAGATGGTGAAATGGGGGCCAGAATGACTGCAACTGACCGTTCTTTGAGGCTTGGAGAGGAAAATGGGATGCATACCAAAAAGAGAACATTACTACTCAGAAGAGAGTAAGGCATTTGGTATTTGGATATTAGGTATTATAAAGATGGATGCTGGACAATGGAAGAGTGAGAAAGTTTGAGTTTTAAAAAAAAGAGCAACAGACTTGAGTTTTGGAATCCCGCACTTTAAAATGCACATAGGTTTCTATATGCCATGAAACCAGTTATGCTTTTGCATACAACTATAGTAGACAGACTATGCTTTTAAGTTCCTAGCATTATTTTAAAAGGTTTTAGTAACAAAGTGTCAAATACTTATAAAATGCTTTTTAACAGTTTTTGCACAAAGCTAAAATTTAATTAGCATTTTTAGTGCTTATACTGTGGTCATTCATCCTTGACACACATTACAAAAACAAATTACTTCAAACAAAACCTCCAACATTCTTACAAATCAGTTTTAAATACAGCATCATACATTTAAACATGCACATTTCTATTCACTAGAACTCTTTGTATAGAACCCAACTGAATTAATAAAAAAAAACGAGGTGTGCTATTTGAGTGTAAAAGAAAAAACTATACTCCTTATAAGTTCAATTCTGTGGTCACTGTATGCCACATTTTGAGGTGTAAGCTAAGTGTAACTTTTTGACAACTTATATGGTTGAATAAAACATGTTTTTGTTCTCTGACAATCTTTTTAACAACTGTACATGCTTGTACCAAACCTTGTTGAAAAACTGGTCAACCTTTTTGTGCAAGGATAAATTGATGCATTAAGCTTCTGCATATGCTACTTTTACATTTTGAGATGTCAATCATGAATGCAGACTTCTGAATTTTCTGTCAAGAATGACCGGCACAAAAACACTTAATCAGACCAAAAGGTCCAAAGAAGAGTCAGAAGGCTTTGCAAATACTTTATTTACTTCACTGGCATTGCACATAATCCCCACCAAAGAAAGGAACATACCAAAAGAAAAGAAAAAGGGATCATCTTAAACCAGTTTGTATTTTGATTGGATGCATATTTTCCCTTTTTATCTAGTTATAAGTAAGAGAAGAGTCTGTGCAGGGCTCATCACACTGGATGGCATTTCCTCTCACTGGTGAACTTAAAGTAGCCGAACTGGTCAAGTTTTCTCTACTGCTCATCGCCCATAGTACAGAACAAAACTTCAAAGGGGAAATATTGCAAATATAATGGGCTTTCAGAGCAGGTTTCTCTCTTTTTTTTTCAATTTTAATTTTAAATGGCTAAAGATGCATCAACCCAACCCTCCCTTCCCCACCAGGCCCTTCCTCTCCATCCATCCATCCATCCTTCTCTTTCTCTCTCCCTGACAGATAAATGATCCCGACCTCAAATGGTGAATCAAGTTGGGGGAGGGACAAGGATGTAGAAGTGAGGGGCAATTGTTTGCACATTGGTTGAATGTTTGACGAGACAAGCAAGGTCCTACCCCCATACTAACCCAACCGGAAACCTATGCAGAAACACAGGAAGAGAAAAATGTGAGGTATGAAAGAGAAAAAACAAAAGATACAGGCAAAAAGGTAAGACATTGAGAGATGACAACATTTATGGTTAACCATTTAGACATATGGTGAATTTACATATAAAACATTTCAAAAACTAAAATCCAGTAAATGCTTAATTGCCTTTGCCAGCTGAAACTAAAATTTGATTTCTACAACTTTTTTTTAAATGGCATCACTAAAAGGGATAATTCACCCAAAATGAAAATTTGCTGTTAATTTACTCATCCTCAGGCTATCAAAGATGCAAGTAATTTTTCTTTTAAATTTTTTTTTATTCTACTGTTCTACTGAAAAACAAAAGATTTTTAGCTGAAACCATGGTTCTTGGTGATTCATAAAATGCAAGTTGATGGCTACAGTCATTTTGAGAGACAATAACAACAACAAAAACAGCATATCAGGCAACAAAATTAATACCTGTGGCTTCGGACGATATAGAGAAGTCTTAGGAAGCAAATTATCGGTCTGTGCAAGAAAATACATCAAGTGCATATAAAGTGAATAAACCAGTCTTGAATCAACTCACCTTTTTAAATAAACCATGAGAAAACAGAGAAACTTAAAGGGATAGTTCACCCAAAAATGAAAATTCTGTCATTAATTACTCAGAATTTTATAATTACATAATTACCCTCATGTCGTTCCAAACCCGTAAGACCTCCGTTCATCTTCTGAACACAAATTAAGATATTTTGATGCATTCTGACAGCTCTCTGACCCTCCCATAAACAGCAAGGGTACTACCACGATCAACGTCCAGAAACGTAACAAGGAGATAAAATAATCCATGTGACATCAGGGGTTCAACCGTAATATTACGAAGCTACAAGAATACAAGAAAAAAATAACGACTTTATTCAACAATTTGTCTCCACCCTAGTGCCATTTTGGAGAGTATCCACTGAAGGCAAACAGCGTATGTTGTTCTGTCAGCCACACCACACGGAGACAAATAGTTGAATAAAGTCTTTTTTTTTTTATTTTGCGCACAAAAAGTATTCTTGTAGCTTCGTAATATTACGGTTGAACCCCTGATGTCACATGGATTATTTTACCGATCTCCTTGTTACGTTTCTGGACTTTGATCGTGGTAGTACCCTTGCTGTCTCTGGGAGGTTCAGAGAGCTGTCAGAATGCATCAAAAAAATCTTAATTTGTGTTCAGAAGATCGGAGGTCTTACGGGTTTGGAACGACATGAGGGTGAGTAATTAATGACAGAATTTTAATTTTTGGGTGAACTAACCCTTTAACTCAATTTAGCTCCTTCATTCAAGTACTTGGTTCATGCATACTTGTATAAACAGCTTATCAGCTCTTCGGTCCGAGTCCAAACAGTTTCCTCCGTTCAGTGTACTATTGGAGTAACCGGAACGCTGAATGAGTTGGCAAAAACTGGCATCACAGGATCATATACGCCGATATAGTGGCTCATTTCAAGTCAAGAGTGACTGTCGGCCACGTTCAAATGAGAGTTTTGATTGAGTAACTTGTAGATCCGTGCTGGCTTGAGCCAAAAACGGTTTCAGATGGTTCAGTCCAATTTAGTGAACTTGTTCATCCAGTTCACTCAAAAAAAAACGGTTTAAAAGAATGATTTGCACGCAAACTGGACATCTCTCTGGATGTTTCTTGCATATACCGATCATTTCACTTTATAAGACCAAAATATAATTGTCAGGAGCCACATATTAATTTTGTGTGGCCTGACATGCTACTTTTTTTTTTTTTTACTCTTAAAGTGACAGTAGCCATTGACTTGAATTTTATGAATCACCAATGACAATAGTTTCAGCTAAAAACCTTTACGGTTATACTTAAGTCACATCTTGGATGGCCTGAGGATAAGAAAATTAACAGCAAATTTTAATTTTTTGGTGTAAAACATAAAATTAAGCCTTTCGGAATATAAAGTAGCTGCTGCTTAGTTTAGCCTGTGGTCAAGCTGACAACATCTGATGTATTTCAGCAGCAGCTGCAGTTTGAAGGCCAAAACTATTTACCACCTTCAAAACACAGCACCAGTTTAGCTCAGGAAGTCTCACCTCTTGCCGGAGGTCACATGATTCCTTCCAGGTCACAGAAATCATTCTAAGGGCTTGGAAGCTGTGGGAGGAGGTGTCTACACAGGGAGAAAGTGTTGTTAGTGCACATGGGGTAGTGGGCACATGCACATCACATGACAAATGCCAAGAAACAACATATGGCCAAAATACTGTTTGAATTAAAAAAAAAATATATATATATACAGTGGGTACGGAAAGTATTCAGACCCCCTTAAATTTTTCCCTCTTTGTTATATTGCAGCCATTTGCTAAAATCATTTAAGTTAATTTTTTTTCCTTATTAATGTACACACAGCACCCCATATTGACAGAAAAACACAGAATTGTTGACATCTTTGCAGATTTATTAAAAAAGAAAAACTGAAACATCACATGGTCCTAAGTATTCAGACCCCTTGCTCAGTATTTAGTAGAAGCACCCTTTTGATCTAATACAGCCATGAGTCTTTTTGGGAAAGATACAACAAGTTTTTCACACCTGGATTTGGCGATCCTCTGCCATTCCTTAGTACATTCGGCAGGCAATTATATAATAACAATAATATTAAAAAAGCGGGCAAAATCAGCTGCCAGGCCACCGGGAATTGTCCCGGTTCTCCCGATGACCAGTCCTGATTTCCACAGAGACACGCAGAACGTGCAGGATGCATATATTGTATTTTTGTTGCTGAATATTTACGGACCCTAGTTCATATCGCGTTTTGATTCAAGTGTACTGACCTACTTTTGATTTATTCATCCAAATGTTGCATATTCCGTGTTATAGGAGTTCCAACCAGTCCCCCAGATAGCACAGGTACGTCTGCAAGATGTCTGTTAAAGATCCTTTGAGCTGGAAAGCATCTACTGTGTCCAAACATCTGACAGACGTCTATAAGATGTCAGTTTAGCATACATTCTAAATCAAACATCTTAAAGACATCTAATAGATGTCTATTTGACATCTAAAATTAAACGTCTTATAGACATACTGCAGATGAGTAAACACAAAATACGTCTTCCAGATGTAAATGCAGACGTCAAATAGACGTCTCCGTGATGTACGTGTGCTATCAGTTTTCCGCATCGCGGAAATCATAGGGCCGTATGTCTCATATTTTAGAGTAGTCAGAGCAATTTGGGAAAGAAATCAATTAAATCTGTATGTGGATGTGTGTAAATATTCAAATGTAACCCCTTTGTAATCGTTAACATTTTCATAAGTAACTAATTTAATTACAAATTTTTTCTTAGTAACTGTAACCGATTACGGTGACATTTATTTTGTAATTAAATTACGTAACGCCATTACATGTAACTAGTTACTCCCCAACACTGTATATATTAGGGGTGTAGCGGTTCACAAAATTCACGGTTCGGTTCAATACGATACAGTGGTCTCACAGTTCAGTACGTTTTCAATTCAGCAAAAAGAAAAAAATGCCAGAGAAATTCTTGATTTTTTTACATTTTTTAATCATGATTTGTTACGGTGATTTGTTTTGCCCTGTTTGAATCAGTTGGAAATGCCTGCCTAAATGCTGCGGGGATAGTTTGTAGAGCATGTTTGTCTCCTTGTTTTCGTTTAGTTCCATAATTCTGATATCAATAGGAACAATATTTTAAAAAGCCTCAAACTGCCAAGAATGCCCACAACAGATGTCTGTACCTACAAACTTCTGAAAAA